CAAGAACAGCTAAGATAACTGTCACATCCAAGAACAGCTAAGATAACTATCACAGTCAAGAACAGCTAAGATAACTGTCACATCCAAGAACAACTAAGATAACTGTCACATCTAAGAACAGCTAAGATAACTGTCACATCCAAGAACAGCTAAGATAACTGTCACATCCAAGAACAGCTAAGATAACTATCACATCCAAAAACACTTTAAATAACACCTTAGACACGTTTATCAGATAAATAATTTTATAACAACCGGAGGCTATCAATGTGACAGTTGTCTTATCATGGATGACGTAGGATGCGCCCAGTGTTCAGATATATGCAGCCTAAGCTCGTACATACTCTGTAATCGCATTTCATTTAGCATGGACAGCTTTTTATACTGAAACAAACTTCTGAATCATCATCTTTTTGGGTCAACGTATATTAAATATATATATATATATTCAAGCACAGTTGACGTTTTTGGCAAAATCACTTCTTCTCTATTAATTTAGGCCCCAGTGCGTGGATTATGACCAAGTAGTATAATGCACATGAATATAAAGATCAATGTGACGGGTTTTAATTACTACAAAATACACCAGTTCGTTCTGTGACTGCGTTGACCTGGATTTCTTTCCTTTGGGAGCTTAAGTCATCGATCGTTGAAATCTTCTGATCTTTAGAAACGATTACCCACCACCTACTTACCTCTCCCTTCCTTCCTCGTGAAAAGCTGCCAAGATGGACCCCGGCCCCTGTCTACTCCGCCCTAGCTGCGTCTGAGGTCAGACGCCGCCACGACAACGCGGTCGACCGTCTTACTATTTGTGTTGTGTGGTTTCTTCCTGTTAAATAAATGTGTCATTGAGATATTTATTACATTCTATACTTGATTCCTTGTTTGAGACTCAATGTAGTAGCAATGTGTTTTTACATAAAACATCCCAGCGTAATGGTAATACCGAGAAAACGGTTAATATGGCGCTAAGAAATCCTTTATAGAAAGTTGAGATTTGGGCATTTCGTGCAGACCTCAGGTGGCCAGTTGTGCTCGATAACTAAGCTTACTTTGGAGGTAGATATAGGGGCTGATTACAACTGGAATTAACTGGTACATTGCAGAAGAAATGCAATGATTCGAATAAAAAACGCCTTGGTTAACTGGTGGGGGGGGGGGGCGTGGGCGTTAGCTGCGCTGTGGACACTGTTCTGGTTTAAAGTCGGAATGATGGCTGTCGTTCACGGTGTAGACTCACTTTAATACGGGGTATATTGCACATTTATTTCAGTAACTAATATAAGAAAACCCGTCAGTTTTGCTTGTAGAGCGCACTCATACAGGACAAGACTTAATTTTACTTATCAGTCGTTTCTGCCTGATCAACTGTCATACTTCACCTAAACTCGGCTAATTCTTGAATGCCGTGATTGTACGGAGAACAGAATGGCGGCTCACACAGCTATCATGCATTTATAATGAACATTGACAGATATATTTCAAATATAATTACCAAGGTGATATTTTACCTATATTTTACCTATAGTACATCAAGTCAATCAAAGTAAAAGCCGTTTGGTCACTTTAGCTCACATTTCATCCCTCAGTCATATGACACTATGTAAACCACAAGTCATCACTTGAACTTTGCTGCCAGCTGACGCCCTGACCCTTGCAAGACCTACTTTAAAGCTTTTTCCAGATATACCAATGATACATTTCCTACCACTATATGCAAAGTAATACAGCTCAAAGTAATACAGCTTCCTACCACAACAATAGTGCCAGTATGCAAAGTAATATACAGCTCATAGTAATACAGCTTGCTACCACAGCGCTAATATGCAAAGTAATACAGCTCATAGTAATACAGCTTCCTACCACAGCACTATATGCAAAGTAATACAGCTCATAGTAATATAGCTTCCTACCACAGCACTATATGCAAAGTAATACAGCTCATAGCAATACAGCTTCCTACCACAGCGCTAATATGCAAAGTAATACAGCTCATAGTAATACAGCTTCCTACCACAGAGCTGGTGCCAGTATGCGAAGTAACACAGTTAATGTTAAAGACAGAAGTGGTCCACAGCGCATGTTGTCGTTCATTGAGAGAAAAATGGACATAAGTATTTGAATTTTGGAAAAAATTAACATAACTAGTACAGAAGCAGTTAACACTGGAATATTCCAGGTAACACCAAGACTAGGATGAAAGCTCCAGTTTGGCAGTGAATGGTCTAATACAATACTGCCATGTGCCCGGTGGATTATACACGATGTGAGGTAAGAATTGGATAGGCATTGTCATTTTCATTATAAATGATAGATGCCTTCAAATGTCATCTTGAGTGATGATTTTCAAAATTATTAGTAAATAGAAGACTTTTTAAAGGAATTAAATCGATTTCTTTCCAGCATTCTCCACTTTAAGAATTGCAAATTTAAAGGCGCTTTTAAGAACTGACTTAGACAGTTATTGACTGAAACAAATCACGGAGTTTGCAGTAACAAAAGTGCGGATATCTATCTGTTAAACGTTATGAACTGAGCCAATGCGGCAGGAATGGTAGTCTGCTAGGAACTGTAGATCGTTTCGCAATACTTTGTATAGGTGACATTCGTCCCCCTAACCTGTGCTAGTCATATGGGACCTCGGACTTCCATTCCTGTCGCATAGGGTTACTGATGTAAATGACATGTAAACGTTGCATTGATGGAAACATCCATTAATGTATCTGACATTTGCAGAAATTTGTCTGCGTTCTCACTTGGCGTGAGCACGGAATGGTGCTCAGGCTACTGAGGGGGGGGGGGGGAGCCACGAAATTAAGTATAGGCCGTGTTAGCTATGCCAGTCTCATAAATAAATGATCTATACATATGTTTTTTTAAGTCTTTTCCAAATCTGTCCAGCAGACAACAGTAAGTATAATTATGTGTGGTACAAATAAAACAGTTTGTCGCCTGGTCATTTCGATCTGTGTTAACGATCTCACCTCCCTGGGGAGGATACAGCCCCGTTGCCGCATGAGGCGCTGATGAGGCTAGCAAGCTTACATAACAACAGCGTTCTCTGTCTGACCAGGAATCATACTTCAACCCCTCAGTGCTGAGTGGCAAACGAGGAAATAGCAGGTACTGTCTGAAAAGGACTGGTTTGTCCGCTCTGGAGGGGGGGGGGGCATTTTGACCGGTCGGTACTTCACCCATGTTATACACTAAGATATCGTCAACTAGAGGCCTAGCTATGACATGGTAATAAGAAATGTGCAAAACTATACAAATGAAATATCGGTGCCCGTTCTGTGTGATCTTATAGAACACCCTATTGGGTTAAACAGTTTTCTACGAATAGTTGAAAGTGAAACCTAAAATGAATTGGGAGTTACATCTTTTATTTAAGCCTAAACGGAGCTGATAAGAGGATTGCGTTTCAAACGCGGTCTCAGAGCACTTTCGAGGAAGTTAAAATTAAAACCTGGGCAGGGGTTAAAACAGTCTTGAAAAGAACTACCCCAGAGACCGAACAAAATGCTTAATTTTCGTCATTTCATTTTTGGACTGAAATGCCAGTTTTGCGTGCCACACCACTGCTACCAAAGTAATTGCGTCAATTCTCACTGTGCCTCTGACAGTCTGGTACCATTGTGTTCTAACAGGCATAACCCCTTACTATTACACGAGGTATTGCTTTTGGCAATTTCACACGTGGCGTTTGATAACTGTTATCCTCCTAGTGCATGTATGACACAAGTTAATTAGTACACTTAAACATATAAACATAGATCTCAATACACTACTTCCTTACAATATATATATATATATATATATATATATATATATATATATATATATATATATATATATATATATATGAATAAATAACCAAAGAAATGTTTAAACTTCTAATTATAATACATTGTTTTGTAACAGGCGTGTCTTGGGTTTATTTATTTATGTTAATTATATATATATATGCATTAGTTTCTTCCAGCACCAGCTCAATCCGCCTCAATCCTCCCAGTCACATGACACTCTTGTCCATCAGCGTTCATATTACTTCCTCCAAGTTATCTATGTTTATAATAACCGCATACGTTCCTCTCTCTTTATTAATTGTGACAGCTTCCAGAATACCAATTCCTATGTTTTCTTTCCTGGACGTGGTACACAATGCACAGCTTTGTCATACCTTCGCTCTGGAATAGCATCTTTATACAGCTGTTTGTTTGTCAGTTTTTCTTCTCAAAAGGTATGTTATATCATTCTGTACGTTTTGCAAATAACANTGTCTTAATTTAAGACATACTGGTATATATAGACGCACTTGTTCCTCTGTCACATTGTAAATTGTCATGACATAACAGCGTTGATGTTTAAGAGCCCATTCAAAACAGCGGACTAACAGATCCGCGGATCAAGTATGGCGACCCACTGCAAAGCTTGCCGCTTAATTCCCTGATTAAACATTGAATAGATTCCCCGCGGGGATTATGCTACAAGCATTCAAGTGCGTCGGCCTTATTTGATCCGCGGATCTGTTAGTCCGCTGTTCTGAATACGCTGTAATACAAGTGCATATATTCCCTTGTTCCACTGGGGCCAATATGGCCTTGTTGTATCTTTTAACATCCCCCTCCCCCTAATTCTTTTTCTTATTAACTGGACGCAGGGAATACGTATTCCCTCAGTCCAAAGATACTAATTCTTCAACCTGGAGCCATATCTTATCATCACCCTGTAACTTAGTTATGCTTCGTTCTACTGGCGGCCATCTGAGGCCAGGATCCCAGAGGAATTAAAAACGGCCTGAACTCAAAGGTTTAACGCACGCTGAACCAAGATAAACGAGAGGTAGTGTGCGTTAGTGAAGACATCGATATTGTTTTATCGAAATAAGAAAAATGACCAACGTTTTAACCGACATTTACTATCTCCCACATAAAATCGACCGGGACCAAGCAGACTAAATTCCCCTTTTTTTTGCGGTGGTTGATTATCGGATCCCTTTGAAGTATAATAACATATACCTAGTGTCCGGAACCGCTCAAATTTAGAATGAATAAAAATAAGAAACAGGTTCGAAATACGGACACCTTTGTATACGGTTAGGTTGCATAACCATTTAACACTACTTTCTAGATCCGTGGTCAAAATAGTTAAGTCCCCTATTCTGAATGGGGCCAAAGTGTCAATCAATCCTCGGATGCCGTTCCCTTTTAACGGAGAACAACCAAAGTATGCTTCACCTGACCTCCACCATTGCCATCAGACCAGATGAAGGTTTGCGGGTCTATTTTTTTTTCTTTTTTTTTAGGTCTCTTTATCAACAGTAACTCTCTGTTTCTGGGATCACATAGAAATACTTACATAGTAGTATATGGGTGGCCGTACACCTCACAAATAAAGAGATTGAGCAGACGCTACATTAATAAAAACACACTGTGTTTTCACAGCTACCTGCCATTAAGAAGTGTAGCGTCTGTGCAGGGAGGATGTATTGAGTTAACGCTGGCGTCTGTCAGGCGTAGGATGAACCCAGTTAAGTAAATGATAGCATATAGGGTTAAGTTCTGACTCGATTGTTCACTATATACTTAGAAAAACATTTAAATGATTATTGTGTCACGTCTAGATTTAATGATTCTGTGAAGATGTTAAGGTGCCAAGTGGATATATTGTAACTACACATCGCTACTGTAAACAAGGTTAGCACATTGGTTGCACATCACTGATTATAGATAAATGCTCGCTAGAATATTGGTTTAGAAAATACCCAGCGTGAAAGCA